AGTTTTTTTAGTAAATTTATTTAACTAAATGTATGCTATTTTGTTTGGTTGTTTTCTCTTAAATTATTTGTTTCTAGCACTTCTTTTGATTAATTGTTTAACAGAATTATCCAATTAAAAAAATATTATTTTATACTATTTAGAATATAATAGTATTTATTATTTTAATAGAATATTATTTTATACTAAAAACATGTATTTATACTTTAGAATTTACTCGTATCCGTATAACGCTATAAAGTTATGAAGTATACATGTTTGGTAGACAACAACGAAATTAATCTTCAAATATAAACAATTTTATTAATATGCATAATTCTTTTGGCATAAATGAATAAATTCGCTTGCCGCATTAAAAGACATAAGTAATGCTATTGAATAAGTTGTATGCAAAGGTATGAAGCAAAACTAAATACAGTTATGCTAAATACAAAATTACAATATTACAATATTCACTAAATACAAATTAAGACCTATGAAACAAAACTAAATACAATTCTGCTACGTGGGCCTTTTCTTTGAATTAGCAATACTATATAGGGGTTGTATTATAATTTGTACAAAGTTATGTGTCATTAAGGCAATTAAAAACATAGTTATGTTCTTAAATTGGATAAAAAATAATTTTGTGCTATCTTGTTTATATCGATAATAAAAAAAAAAAAACTAATATTAATATGACTTAAATTTGATTACGGGAAATACATAGTAAAATTAATAAGAACTTAAATTTAATAATATGCTGATTGTAAAATAAATAAGAATATAAATCTTTAGTTCATATGTATAACATCATATGACTCATATATGTATAACATATAGGAGCTCATCACTGGGGTGTAACTCGTTGATACACTCGCAACACCGCCAAGAAGATATGGTAGAGTCGTTCCAATCTATTGTATCAAAGTTAGATACACAAAAAATATGCATGAACTCCTCGCAATCAACACAACTTATGAGAAATTCCTTTAAATCAACCTCACCGCATACGACGCATGGATTGCATCCGTCCGTAGCTATAAAACCACAAAAAAATAAAAACAAAAACTTAGAAGTTGAATTACGCTAATAATATGTATATGTATAAAAGATAAATATAAACGCGAAAAATATAAAATTAAAAAATATAGCAAAAACTTTCTTAAATGAGACATGGTCAACTTCATTAACATCAATCTCTTGTACTTCACCAATGTGGTTACAATCATCACATGTATAATCTTTAGATTAACTATTAGAATTAAATTTTTTCCACATTCCGTCCATACAATATATGTGCATCATATCCTTGCAATGTATACAACTACGCAATCCTACTTTGAAGCCGACGTCGCCGCATATGACACATACCTTGCTATCCGTGGATCTATAAAAGTACCGAGTAAACAAACATATTTAATATCGGTGTTATTTTATTTTCCCATAAATTGGAATACAAAAAAATGAAAAAATAATGTAAAACATACACATTGTTCCCCAAAAACGAAGAAGGCAATTTGATGCGTTTTTCGATATCAGACTTTTTCATGTCTCCTTGTAGTACCACATCTTGCATTCCTTCATAAATTTCGGAAGATAAATGTTTCCGCAAACAACCTAATTCGAACAACTAATAAAAAATAAAATTAACAATTAAGTATGAAAGATAAAGGAAATTGGTAACTATTAAACGGAAAACCATACAAAATATATATAGGGTATAAACAATCGAAAATTAGGGTATAAACTAATCGAATATTAACTAAAATAATGAAAGAATGGAATTAGAGTATACAACCTTTTTTCTTGCCGTGTGCTTTGTTATATGAATGAGAAATAATGGATGTGGAGTGAGGTATTTATACTTACTTTTCTATCAAAAAAAAGAGGTATTTATACTTATGTTTTATGTAATAAAAGGTAAATAGTATACATATTTAAGGAAATCAATTATATGCATTAAATTGATACAATTAAAATTATTTCATTTTAGAATGTAAGAATAATAATTGAATATATTATGGATTGAGAAATATATTGTTACTAAAATAGTGTGATGTTTACAAATTAACCATAGTTAAAGAAATGTCATTTAATGATTACCATAATATAATTACGGAATATGTCATTTATTATAATATATAATTACATATATAATTACATATATATTACGGATTTTAATTGGTATTAGATGACAAAATTAATGATTACCATAATAACCTATATAATATTAAGGAAATATGTAATTGTCATAAAAAATGTCATTTATGTATTATATATTTACGGAAATATATACATATATTTTTAATATATTCTTATATCTCATTATGGAAAGTTATAATTAAATGGACATTATATATGTAATATGTAGTGACACGTGGAGCATGATTAGGATGCCTACGTGGATGGTGACATGGATGACACATGTCGTAATTCTAGGCTATGAGGGTTTCAATTTATATATTATATAGATTCTTAATTGTAATCTCAATTTAATCAATTTTGACCACAAAAATTCAATTTTGAGTTTTTTTTTTAAAAAAACCTTTTTTTTAAGAAATTATTTTTTTGCAATCGGTTTCCGGCGTTGACTTCGATTTTTTTTTTCTCGTCTGTTTTTTCTGCCGCCAGTTTCTGGCGTTGACCATCAGACTCCAACGTTGACTTTTTTTAGTGGTTTTTTTTTACGCCAACTGCTAAACGTTGACCGTAATTGTGTTGTCATTAACAGTAATTATACTGTCACTGACAATAAATTAACGTAATTATACAGTCGTTGATAGTACATTAACGTAATTGTACTGTCGTTGACAGTACAATTAGAGTCAACGACAATATTATTATTTTTTTGGTTATTTTTTTTCATTTTGATTTATTTGTTGACTAGTCAACATAATTATAGTACTGTCGTTGACAGTAAAATAACTGTAAACACAATAATATTACTGTCAACCACATCAATATTTTTTTTTTGGTTTTTTGTTTTGTTTGAGTTATTGACGAACTAACGTAATAATATTACTGTCTATTATTGTAATATTACTGTAAACACAATAATATTACCGTGGTTGATGGTTGTATTGTTGTTACAGTAATATTACTGTCAACCACAGTAATTTTAATAAGCTCCAAAGTGTAAACAAATTCAATTATTTTTTTTTAATATATTCTTTCATCTGATTCATCTGCATATACATTGAGATCCAATTATTGTGAATAGTGGAGTGTCTTTCGTAACAATTGTTTGGGGAAATTACAAGAAGTTTTGAGTGAAATAAGCTCAAACTGTAGTGAGTTTTGTAGGCTTGTGAGACAATGTGTTTACAATTTAAATTGACACTTTCCACACCATGTGCTATTTAATAAAAAGTTTCGAAAAAGAAATGGTTTCGAAAAAGAAATGGGGCCATTTGATATACATCCCTAGAATGGAAAATATACAGGGATAAGTCCACCCCTAAAATTCTTTCTTTGAGATACACCCCTGGAGAGGCAAAAGTACTATTGTGCCCTTATTTGTAAATTTTAACCAACTGCATTCAGCTTTTCCAACTGCATTCAGTATTATAGCTAACTGCACTCCACACTTTTAGACCTGCATTTATCATTTTTTCAGATTTTTTAATAAAAAAATATAAATTTTTATTTTATTATTATTTTTTTATACGTACCATCTTTTTGTATTTTTTTTATTTATTTTTTATTTTTTATTTTTTTATTTTTTAATTATTTTTAATTTTTAATTTTTTTTAATTTTTTTTATTTTTTTTTAATTTTTTTTAATTTTTTTAATTTTTTTAATTTTTAATTTTTTTATTTTTTTTTTATTTTTAATTTACTGTACTGAAATTGACTACACATGACTATAGTATACCACAGTCATGTATATTATATGTAGTCATGTACTGTTTTTTTACGCCAAAGTTATGGTCGATCGATTATAAAAATCGTTGATTATATATAAAAAAAATCATCTATACCAATAAAAAAATTCAAAATTTGATTCTTGATATTATAAATAATTTAATGCCTAACAAAAAACAAAAAAAAAAACACAATTATCAAGATCACTATACATCAGAAAAACCACATAGCTTGTATATAAATATATATAACTACATGGAACTATACATGACTCCAGTTATCTATACGACTAAATTTGATTCAAATCCCACTTGTCAATACGAGAACCGCTTGTTTTGAACAACAAACACAATCCACTCCGCAAAAACTTACTACATAGTAGTTCAAACACCAAAACCTGTGAAAAAACTTACTACATAGTAGTTCAAACACCAAGACCTGTGAAAAAGAAAACGAGTTAAACAAACAACGAATTTTGCTTCAAATTTAAATGTGCACACACGCACTATCACCTACTGGTATACATAGATACTCCCCACATAACTCATACATGACTACATGACTACATAGTTTATATATAATTATATATTACTACATGTGACTACACCATATATTACTGTATGTTACTGCACATGACTATATATTACTATATGTGACTACACCATATATTACTGTATGTTACTACACATGACTATATATGACTACATGTATATGACCACATGTGACTATATACATGTATGTGACTTTATTTGTCCCTTCAAGTACCTGACTTTGTTCTCCAAGCGATACGAGACAGCTTATATTATCAAAATCAAATTACAAACAGAGTATACTAATCATTATTCTCCGTATAACCAAAGGTCAAAGATCAAAGCAAGTTGAAGTGGAACACCATAGATAAAATAATAGTTGAAACACACGTAAAGTAGTCACCTATTTCATTCTCGATAAATAAAATATCAATATCATATTACCAACAAAATATTCTCATCACGAATCTACATATACTCCCAAGTATAAAAAAAAGTAAACAAATCATTTGAGGACCAATAAACAGTGATTCAATATATTAAGAAGCACATTAAAATTCATTACCTTTTCTATGCCTTCAATGGATGAACAGTCAGTTTTGTCGCACCACCACCAGGAACAAGTTTCGAGTTTTTTTTTTTATTATATTTCTTGCCACAACAATCGCATTTTATGTACAAGTCGACTCCTAAAATTAAACTCACAGCTTCACACAAAAAAAAAAGAAAAAAAATTAAAACCAAAACTCAAAAAATAACTGCAAAATTCGATGATGGATGTACAAAAAATACTTTGTTGAACTCAAAAAATACCTGCAAAATTCGAATTACATTACATGAAAAATACAAAAAAACAATGAAAAACACTTTATTGATAAAATTACTTTGGTGAACTATAGTCACATGTAGTTATGTATTCTTGTTACTACATATGACTATATATGACTATATGTAGTCAACTATAGTCACATGTAGTTATGTTCATTCTTGTTACTACATGTGACTATATATGGCTACACGTACATGACTATATGTGACTATATATGGAAAATACGATTTAGAGAAAACGAACAGAAAAATGGAAAATGCACCATCTTCTACCAGCAAAAACTTAGTGCATAGAAGTTGTTCAAACACCAACACTTGTGACGAAAAATCAAGTTCAATTTAATTATTTACATAATAAATCAACTCATAACCAACAAATACAAATCGAAATACACAATCACACGCCTATATTACTACATGTTACTATATGTTATTATATATTACTATATGTGACTATATATGACTACAATTATCTATAATTGAATCTTCATTCAGATTCCAAACAAAATCAGGCATATCATTCATTCTTTCTACAACAATTTTGTAACGTACAACCTCTCCTCTCAACAAGGTAGCTCTCGGTCCTCAAATAAACCAACAAAATCAGGCACATCATAACTTACACATGACACATGTTAATATAGGTTTAACAAGCAAGCAATTAAACTACAATTTAGTTATTTTCATCTGAATATATCTTAAAAGGATAAACAAGTTTGTGTGTGTGTGAATAATGATTCCATTTATTACAGAGATTGACATTAGATAAACCTGTGATTAAAATAATATTAATTATGGTGGAGTTTATTGTAAAGATGAGTGCAGAGATAATTCACACCGTAGCAACTATTTTTATTAATTAGATAGAAATATAAATAATATTGTAAAAAATAAGAATCAGATACACGTACTGTTTCTTCCACCGGGTGGGGTATCATCGATGCAACTGCTATCACGACGCCCGTCACTGCAATAGCAACCAAACGACGCCGCATCTAGACTGTACCTGCACGCGCCGCCGGATCTGGCACAGACATCGCAATTGACGTTCTCAGCCCACCACCGGATCGAGAATCCCACTCACAAGAGCAGACTGCAATCAAACGACGCGCATCCTGATTGTACCCGCACGCCCCGCCGGATCTGGCACGAGCATCGCAGTTGTCGTTCTCAGCCGACCACCGGATCGAGAATCCACTCGCAAGAGCATACTGCAATACAATTGTCGTTCCCCTGCTTGAACTTTGGCTTCAGATCTTGCTGCGACGGGTTTGAAGGGGACGGATTGAGATAAGATGGTAGAGCGACGCGAGGGATGTGAGGATCGGCGCTTCGGGGCGGAGGGCTGTGGGTGGAGAGAAATTTAGGGTTTAGGTGGGGAAGAGAAAATCAAATGAGAGGATCGTGACTTTCATCGGGTCTTAATTCCCAAAAACTGCCCAATAAGGGTAAAACAGTCATATCCTTTGGTCCAGGGGGTCAGACAAATTAAGATCAAAATTTGGGTTTTTGACTAGGACAAAAAAATTCATTGGATCCCCTCATATATATTTTCAAAAGTAGGGGGTTATCACTCATTTCCCCAAAAGAAAAATTATTGTAGAGCAACATAAACATGAATACCAACTACAAACACACTTATTAAATTGCATAATAATAAGAAGACATAAATTAAAGCACAAACACATTATATCGTTGAACCATAATAACATGCAGATGGAAATTAAAGTACCTTGAGCAACTTACCGTCTGTCGGGGCCCACTCGGATAGCACAAAATCTACACTGTTGTGATATTATCCAATTTGGGCCAAATCCAATTGGTTTTGCTCTTAATTTTCTCTAAAATGGCTCATACCAATAGAGTTAATATCCCCTCCTTATAAATGAATGATCTTTCCAAATTAAAACGATGTCGGACTTGGTTTGCACATCAATACTGTCTTTTTTAACTTATTAGATCTTGAATGTCAAGCCAGATGAGACTTGTAATTTGATCTCCATGGAGCTTCTTCATACGCTCAGCCATGTCTGAAGTCAAATAATTGGTCCAATCTCTGATTAATCCCTTCCTGCAAATTAAAATGTCCTATTCTTCAATAAACCATCTACAACATATCCATTCTTATTGACTTCTACATTCTTCAAATTTTGAAAGCTGCACATATTTGAGATTTCTTGTATTAGCCCTTGTTACTTCCTCAATGAAAACAGGCAACCTAGAAAAACGGCAATCTTCTTTACATTGAAAATGACATCATCTTTCATATCCTCGTACTTGAGAAACAACACTTTCCTAGCTAGGATTCTCCAATTGGGCATTCCGGCTAGAGGTGTAAATGAGCTGAACTGACTCGTGAGATCGATCAGTCGACTCGACAAAAGCTCGAACTCGAACTCAAATTTTTCGAGCTCGAGTTCGTGCTCACGAGCTCGATATTTCTGACGTGTCGAGCTCGAGCTCTTATTCTTAACTATTCGTAAGATCGCGAGTTTTTTTTTTTTAAATATAGCTTTATTTTTAAATTATTCTATTTGTTCCTTTATAATTGTCGTTTTTTAGCATTGCACAAGGATTACGAATGTCATTAAATGTGACTTATTTTTGGAAAATGTGTATTTGTAGACAATAATGTCCTTTCCCACAAATTAATAAGAGATAATGTTGGAGACAGTGAATAGGCGTAAAATACAAAACTATGTAATTAATACAATATTGGAATTTTAAAGTGACATATAATATTGAACAATTGTATTTATCAAAAGTGACATATTTTTGGAATGAATGGAGTAATATATAAATAATATAAAATTTATTAAAATACATGTAAATGACTAAAAAATAAGTACAATTCATTTTTTAATTTCGTCATTTTCTATTATAATTTATAATAATAAAAACATAATAATATTAATAATTTTTTTTTAACATAGTAGGAGCTCAGGCTCGAGCTCGACAAACGCGTCTCGATTTTAAAATATAAAACTCGATGAGCTCTAGCTCGAGCTCGACATCGCCATCAGCTCGAGCTCAACTCATTTACACCCCTAATTCCAGTAACCAACAATATGATCCCAAAAGGGCCCATATAGGTGAATTCTCTCGCAAAACGTGTCAAAAGTCTCGTCTTATCCGAATGTAAAGTTATATACATATGCACAAACCCTTTGAAATGGCGGAGTGAGATGAACCGGTCAATAGGGATTCTACGTATTTAGATAATTTTACATTCGAATTCACGAATAAAATAATCAACTAGGGTTTCAATATGCACGGGGGACATGGGGGCGAAAAAAGGAAAGAGATGGATGGGGTTTCTCTCGCTTTTGGCATAGCGGACCCCAGTGGGAGGCTCGCACGACGGGCTATTAGCTCAGTGGTAGAGCGCGCCCTTGATAATTGCGTCGTTGTGCCTGGGTTGTGAGGGCTCTTAGCCACATGGATAGTTCAATGTGCTCATCGGCGCTGAC